CACATATCATAGTTTGAAAACATCATATATATATATAATAACAGATGAAATTAAAGGACTGATTTTATAATTTAAAAACTCCCACTTGCTAGTTTGGTATAGATGTCTGACGTGTGGATGAGCTGGCAAAGAATATTATAATCTGAAAAATAAGGAAAAAAAACATGTTCTGAAAAACATAAAAATCAAACTTAATTATCCAATTTGTCTCCAATTTTCCCATTTTTTCATTACCGTACGAATCAACAAGGTACGTTTTCTCCCTTTCTTCTTCTTCCTCGGATTTTCCGATTCTTCGTTTTTTTTTTTTCCTTCCGTAATTGAATCGAAAGTTTTTATTTTTCCTGGGAAAATCTCAGAGAAAATTGTTCGGAGAAAGGGAACCAAAAAAAAAAAAAATTATTCCGGGATTTGATTGGGATTTGGTTATTCAATTGGATATTATGATTGATGATTATATGTTTTTGATATTTGATTCCCGATAAAATCGCAATGAACAAAGCAAAATCAATCCTAGAAATTGCGTTGACTTTGTTTTATTTTTTTGGGGGCTAATTTTGACTCGGTCATGGATTTTAGGGTTTGGTTCCTCTGTGTAATTTACACAAATTAGGGTTTTTATTTTGTAGTTCGTTTTGTAGTATATGAATTTTTGTAAAGTTTTGACATTTGTTCTGTTTTGTAATAGTTTCTGTTTTATTGGAGAATTTTGATTTGGGTTTTGTGCTAAGTGGAATAAATATTTGAGATTTAGATTGGATTAKTTCTGCAAATGTAAAAAAGATTGGATTTTTAAATGGTCAAATTGTGATTTTGTTCATATAACTTTGAGATTGTGTTTTCATATAGAAACCATTGTAATAATATGCAGAAGCTTTTAAAGGAATTTGGATGGAACAACCGAGTGACAAGGCCTCTCAAGAACAAGTTCGTGAATCTCTAATCGCCATTTCTTACACTTCGCCCGAAGAACCGTCTCTTCCTCTGTCCTCTGACGTGAAACCTGTTGTTATTAGTACCATCAACACTAACGGAGGAGTCACCAAAGGAAACAGCGATGATGCGGAGAAGCTCAGGTCCGAGCTGATTTCGATTTCGTATGACGAGTCAGCTTCGCCGGACGTAGCTGTTTCCCCAACATTGCCCAACGGTGTCTATCGCGGATAGGAGTGAAATGTACAGCTTGGTGAAAGTCTTTCTTCTATGCATAAAGACTTTTGGTTTTGGTCTAAAAGTAGACCATTTCGATAATATGTTAACGTTTTACTCCTTAACTATATATGATTGAAAATCAATGAAATTTCTCTTCTTTTGTGTGCTTCTTGGATCTGTCTTTATATAATAAGTTAAAAGCTCTATCGAGTCTCGTTGGATGATCTGAATCAAATTAGTATCACACTGAGATACAAAGCTTGAGAGAGAGGTAAGAAACATTGTGAAGTGAAAAGATTGAAACTTGTGAATGGATTCTCTTGTTTTGCTCTTTTTTTTAGGACATTTGGGGAAAGATAAAAAGGCGAAGAAACCCTAGTGAGCTGCGTCTTCCTCTTCGCAGAATTTGGTGTATGCCTTTGGATCCATCAAGGATTCCAACTCCGCGGGGCTGCTTGGTTTCACCTTTATCATCCAACCATCTTCATAAGGGCTTGAGTTGATCTATATAACACCAAATGAAAAACCGATAAAACTCAGTTCGATCAGCATGCGCCACACCACACACCGAGGTAATTGTTTCGAATGAACAAAAAAACTTACCAAACCGGGTGAATCGGTGAGCTTTGTGTTAACCTCAATGACTTCACCAGAGATTGGGGATATAATCTCACTTGTAGCCTTAACACTCTCAACAGCTCCAAAGCTTTTCTCTTTACTCACTGAACTTTTTTCTTCAGGCAACTCCACAAACACAACTTCTCCTAAATGACCCTACACATATATATGAATTCAGACACTAATAAATCTGATCTAAAACTTAGTTCTTCTGAGCTATATATATGTTTTTGGTTACCTGAGCATGGTCAGAGATGCCAATGGTAGCCACTGAGCCTTCATGTTTCACCCACTCATGTGAATTTGCATACTTAAGTCCTTCCAACACTTTAAAAAACCCAACCCATCAACAAAGAGTTTTTCAGACAGAGTTGTAAAACAAGAAACCAATGCAACACACACAAGTCGTGTTTTTTTACCTGAGGAGAAGCATCTGGAGATGGAGAAAGGTGGAGAGAGATGAGACTTTGAAACAGAAGAAGAAAGCTTGAGAGCATTTGCTGTAGAAGAAGCCCACATTCTCAGTGCCATTTTTCTTGTTCTTGTTTTGATATTTTTCCCAAAGAAAGTGTGAAAAAAACTAAAGAAGCTCTCTTAATAGCTTTTTTCTATCTTTAGATGTATGGCAGAAAATGAAGGCCTAATCTTCATGGTGCGTCCAAAAACGTGTAACCCAAACCCTCTTGATTATCCAGAAGGTTAGTCCTTTTGTAAAGGAATTGTTTGAAAATGACCAAAATCGGGTCTATTGTGTTAACATTGGAACTTTATGGGGGGGGGGGGGGGGTTTAAGTATTCTACAGAAATTTTGAGCAATTTGAGGTCTTTGTAATGTTTGAATATATCAAGTTTAGATATTTTTAATAGCAGTGACTTGGATTCGAACTCAGGTTTAGGACATGTGTTCCATGACGTTTCTTACTCATGCATTATAGTCAACTGTGTTTAACATGTACTCTATGATGTTGTTGTTTTAGCTCATGGATCAGCTAAAAATCTTTATTACTGATCAATTGATCATCTTCTAACCAAAATTGCAAGCAGAAAATGTCTCACCAATCAATATCTCTCTTAAAGAATCTCATTAGTAGAATCACTACCGGGTCTAGGATTCAGACCCGGTCCGTGACCTACAAGACCAGACCCGTGACAGTAATCCACGGTGATGTGACAAACGAGGTGGAGCAAGTGATGGATGCAATGCACGCGCCGGTCTACTTCGAGACATATGACATAATTAAAGGGAAGTATGAATCATTTGCCACGGGAAATGGCGGGATCGATACGGAAGAACAAAGTGCGTTTGAATGGTAAATTCAAGACCTTGTGTGGTGGTACAAGGAAGGAGCTTGACCTCTTTGCATCTCTGGTTCATTGTTTCAATCTTAATGGTCAACCGAGTCGCTACAATAATGTTGACATTGTGGTGATAAGAGAGAACACGGAAGGCGAAAATGCAGTGCGTGAGCACCAAGTTGTTCCCGGTGGTGTCATACAGAGCTTTAAAGTGACAATGACAAAGTTCTGGTCTGATCGTATCGCGAAGTTTGCTTTCGAATATGCTCAATCGAACAAAAGAAAGAAAGTTACAGCAGTGCATAACAAGCAAAAAGACGAAATATTCATGAAACTAGCTGATGCTTTCTTCTTGGAATCTAGTCAAGAAGTTGCTAAAATGTATCCAAACATCACCTACGACGAAATCTGTATTGCTAACTGCTGTTTGCAACTTGTTGAGAAACCAGAGCGATTCGATGTCATTGTAACTCAAGATGATCTCTGTGGGAATATAGTTTCAAACATTGCTGCTGGTGTTGCTGGAGGATCCATTATGCCTGGAGGACATTTTGGTTGTGAGCATGCAGTCTTTGAGCAAGTTGAATCCGTAGGAATCGGTGATAACCCGGTGGCGTTACTCATGTATTCGGTTATGATGCTGAGATATCTTAAGCTTCTTTTATCCGCGGACAGGCTTGAAACCGCTGTGAAGCGCGCTATCTCTGAAGGAAAGTGTGGAAATAATAGTACTACTACACAGGATGTTGTTGATGCTGTAATTGCAAACTTGGATTGACTTCACATTTTTCACAATTGTGTAGCCACAAAAACTAGGATGGTATGTTACATACATCGGGTTTCCGGTTTTAAGAGATCCACTCTCCTATTTCAAACTGACTTGGGTAAGAGAAGCTTGAAGTCTCATTACTATTACTGTCTTCAATAATTATTGGAACCGTTGTTGCGGGTAAACACCAGAGAGGTTTAGGTGGAACTTGGAGAGTCTCTACATTCTCCTCCCACATTTTAATGACTTTGGTCATTGATGGACGATCAGATGGATCGGTCTGAATACACCATAGACTAACCAATACCATTTTCTTTGCGATTCTTTCTTCTTCTTCAGTTATATCATCTCCAAATATCCTCATGACTTCTGCCCTCTCAAGATCTTTATAGATCCAATCTGGAAAGTACATTGGACTATTGTTGGATCAACTTTTTATAGAGTGTTCAATTTTTTTCTACATTCCTTGCTCCAATCATCTCGAGAACCACCATCCCATAGCTATACACATCCGACTTATGCGAAGCTCCTCCAAAACTCTTGGAAAATACTTCAGGGGCAATGTATCCTATTGTCCCTCTCGCGTCCAGCATTGAGATGCTGCTCTCTTTATTTTTACAGAGCATAGCAAGACCGAAATCTGAAATCTTGGGACAAAGATCCTTGTCGATGAGTATGTTTTGCGGCTTTATGTCGAAGTGCACTATACTCGATACACAAGGATTGTGCAAATACTCTAGGCCACGAGAAACACCTACCGCAATGTTATATAACTTTTCCCATTCCAACTTCGTTGACATATTCTTGAAAATGAACTTGTCGAGGGATCCATTCGGCATGAAGTCGTAGATTATAGCTCTCTTGTTCCCTTCATAACAGAATCCAAGCAGAGGAACAATATTGACATGAGATGTTGTACTCATGCTAGCTACTTCGTTGGTGAAGTCTTGTCCATTTCCCTTTGAATCTTTCAATATCTTCACTGCGACATCTCGGCCTCCATCGAGTAACTTCCCTTTATAGACAGTCCCAAATCCTCCTTTCCCGAGAACATGCGCAAATGAGTTTGTCATCTTCTTGATTTTTTCGTAGCTATATTTTCTAGACATTACAGCCGCTTCAACGCATTCGCCATTCCAATTACTCTTTCTCGCATTTACTCTCACCATTACCGCAACCACAGTAAAGATAATCACAATCAAAGGCGTACCGAGTATGACTTTTAACTTCCATGATGACTTTTCTACA